CTCGCCGGAAGCTGCAATTGATTACAGCATCCACGTCCCTGAAGTGCGTTGCGTAGTCGAGCTGATACCAGCATCTCGCTCACGATTATCATGTCAGCGTACATGAATCCATATCCCAAGGATACGATATTGATTTATGAGAATGTCGCATAATTTTGTTTGTACAAAAATAATGTATAATGTTTGAAATATATGCTATAAACGTAAGAAAACTTAATATTCTTAAAAAATTAGTTTATTTAATAAATAATTTATTTAATTTAATTATTTTTAATTATTTTATATAAACAATTTAATTTCTAATTATGTAAATGATGTAGACTATTATTTTTTTTGCAATATTTTATTTTAAAGATTCTTTGATTTATTTAAATATTAATTTTACTAAAAGAATTTTCTTATATTTATATTATTTTTCGAGAAATCTGATGATGTAATCTTAAAATCTATTCTGTGTATGGTTAATAAAGATAGTCGTGTAATCTGATGTTGCTACAGCTGAAGTCCTTTGCAAGCTTAACAAGGCATTAAAGCGATAAAGTTCATATGCCTCGATGTTCCTTGTTGCAAAGTTACATTGTTATCTAAAGTACAGATGGAATTATGGTTGTTATCGACAGGGAGATATCTAAACGTATAATATTTGATACAATAACATTAATAAATGCAATATATGATAACGTTGCAAGATAATAGTACAGAATAATAGTATTCAAAGCGTACAATTAAGCACACAAAGATCCGTATATCATATCTCACTTTTATTAAAAAATACGCATTTAGCATATGGCAAAATTTATGTTTTATATATATTAGTATATATTACAGATATTAATAAATAAACGAATTTATTGATAAAAGTGAAGTATGAATACAAACTATAGTGTATTTCTTTATTTTTCGTTTATGCAAATTCACATTAAAATATTAATTGCTAAATTATGGCTTTTTGTCTATTATATTTATATCTTTATGCAAATATAAATATTTTAAAAAAGTATTCATGTTTTTTTTACATTTCACTATTATACTATATAGTGTACGTTTTATCATCTTTCGCAGGACCGACGTGGACGCTGCATCCGGCACGAAAAGTGGTACTTTAAAATTTGTAAGGACGCTGACAAACATCTCAAAGGATGCTGGCGGCATTGCTCATATGCGATGCGAAGTCGTGGGCGATCCTCCTCCGACAAAGATACGATGGTACAAGAATGAAGCGCCATTAGAGGAGAACCGGCCAAAAATCACTATTAGGAAAATACACGCACAGGTAATTACGTGTAATTATCAAACTACCATTAATTGCAATTATTTAAAATGTTTTGTTATTATCAATATTAAATCTTTGATCCTTACATTTAACAAAAATTCTTTTCTATTAAAAAGAATTTTGTATTCTTTTTTTCCAATTTTTAATTTTAGAGTTTACTATTTAGTAAATATAGGCGAATACGTTAAATAACATTCCAGATGCACGAACATGCAGCAAAGAATTTGGCAGGAAGTCGATTAAAAATTACAAATTTGGACGTTTCTGATATTGGTTTTTATACATGTCGTGTCACCAATGGTAAGGATCAAATCCAGAGCGAAGGAACCCTGCGAGTTGATTCTTCCAAGAAATGGCCAGGTAGGTTATTCAGAATTAAATTATTATCAGCATACTATATCGCAATCAATAATAAATAATTTTATATAATAAAATATCGAATAAAGTTTGTGCATGTATTGTTTGTGAAATCGATTTTATCTGTAATATTTAACCAAACTCGATAAACTCAGTTATAAAAGTTCTGTATCGTTTAAATAATTCAGTTTTTCATATACATTATTGTCTCAATTTAAATTTAGAATGACGTAGATTTTTTATACATATTTTTTATACATATTTACAAAATTACGCTCGAGCGAACATTACGCAGTTACATTAACGAACCTCGGGACTGTAACCATTAGGAAGGATAATTGTATCTCTTCGTAATTTTAAAGCCACGCGAAGCAGTTCTCCTCCCATAATTTGGGTAGTTTACATTTCGTGGGAATAATTAAACATGCGAGTTTAAAACTCGCAGTCCGTAAAATCCACGGAGTATATGATATTTCCACGTCACCGGGGAAACGGGTCTTGAAGATGGGCTTTGTGGTCGTAACTCGCTTATGGAACAACACCGTAAAAAACATTTGTAATGCGCGAGGTGAATCGCGACATTTTACCTATCTACTCCGTCGCGACGAAAATTTTCGAGTAAACGCATTAAACGCCGGAGGTAACGGTGTATGTTTGACGTGAGAGCATTATCATAAAACGCAAAGCCGTCTGACTATGGAAACGACTATACAGCTTGGCTCTGCACCAGCTCTGTATTGTTATCTTATGCTACGCAAGGGCGTAGGTAGAATTTTCTCAAAATTGTCTCAACTTTTTTCCTACCATATTAAACCTGCCATTCATTTATTAGTATCAAACTATTATAATTTTTGTAGATTTGCTATGAAGATTTTTTTATTATTTTTACATAAACGTAGATAATATAAAAATGTATTTAGAAATTTTTTTGAATTAATTTGAAAATTTGAATTTTGTCACTGATTTTTTATCGACAAAATGATAAGAATAGATGATAATTTACATGAAAAGAATAATTAGTTTTTTATAAAAATTGAAATAGTTGTTTATTTTTATATGATTTAATTTTTTTATTTGTTATTTATATTTTATATAATTTAAATTTATCTTTATCTTTATATCATTTAAAGTATTTTATATTATATTTTCATTAAAAAATTTCTGTTAATTTTTTCGTTAATTTTATTTAAAAAATTGTAAACTTGGAAACCTTTAAAAACACTCTTGTCTACATCCCTGTGTTATCTTCTCTGGTCTAGTGGGTAATTCACGTTTACGATGCTCTACACTTTCACCCGAGATCATTTCAGTTAATGTGATATTAGAGTAAATATTTGAAGGTTCTAACTAAGGAAACGCGCAATTATCAATAAATTATCAGACCATTTAAACTCAGAACTCTCCCAAGATTATTTTAAAAGCTAAAATAATACTATACAATTCTTATTTTATTTTGATACTTATTAGCAAACAATTTTTACTATCTATGATTTTATAACTATTAAAAAATATATTTTACACAAAGCCATTTATTTTTATAAGCTATAACTGATGAGCTCTTGCTATCACAAAACTTAAATATCCCAAATGCATTTTACTGTTATGTTTATTTCTATAGATGCGCCGTTTCGAGGCTGAGTTGGCTCTGAGTAATGAAATGAATTGCACTAAGCTTTTCTGAGTCGTTCTTGCTTTTCAAACTGGAAAGGAATCGTAAAAGTAATGCTGTTATACGAATATCGCACTCCTCGCTGTAGCGAAAATCGAATCGAATTAAGAGAAAGTGAAAGTCAGGTTCGTAGTCGTCGACGACCGAAGTGGGACGACAAAGAAAAGCTCTTTCGTACTTCGACTTTTCGAGAGGCACAAAAATAAGAATCTCAACGTGATCGTAAAACTGTCAATTTGAAACAAACTCACGATCGACGTCTGTTACAAGAGTAGATGAGGGAAATCAGAACAAAATATGATACACGAAAAGATATTTTATCGACATACATTTGAAATATCTTTTGTTTTGTACCGCGGTGTTTTATCACAATAATAGTAATTATGATGATAAAGTACCAAACAACTGCCAAAGTTGATTAGCTTTATTCAAAATATGCGTAATTATACCAAAATTAAATTATTAAAGTAATAACTGCTAAATCTGATTATCTGATTAGTACATCGTTATGTACAATAATATCTATTATTATTTGTGATCAACGTAGCATATAATTTATGATACATGGAACAAGAAAATTATTATCAATAATATTCTGTATTATTTCAAACCTCAAAATCCATCAGAGGTTAATCAATCCTGGCACTAAATTATTTATCGTGTTTGTAATTTGTTTACTCCAACGAATATTTCATTTAAACGCGTCGGGAGTAATAATTCGCCGACTAGTAATATTTTACTGCGAGCGTAACATGCGATACATTCTACTTTCTGAGATCGCAAATTTTTCTCTTGACACCCTCCTCTTAGGAAGATGCACTTTACTTCAAGAACTTCATTATGCGTGGTGTAAATTAGTTTCAATTTATTTTCCGTAAGAGGACAAACTTCTTAAAGCCAAACTCCAAGCATTTCACCGAGACGAAGTTATTGCGCGACAGCTCTGACAAATTCTAATCCAGCCCCGTAGTGTTTCGCTTAATGCGCGAAGTACAGCAAGAACGAAACCTCGGTAAAGTCTACCTCTTGAAGATAGACAAACCGTACTGACTCTTCTTCTGGGGTAAGAAAGTTTGTTGTTAATGCGGCGTGAGTAGAATTTGGAAGCCACTGCTTCAGCAAACTGAACTTAAGTTTCAAGGGCCATGGTCGGCTGAGGTGTACCATTAATCAATCGCGAGTCATAAACATTTGAGAAAAAAGGTGTTACTACAAAAATTTCTAAAAAAAATTACAATGTTTATACAATATGTATACACTAACCTCTTTTAAACGTGTGTTTGTTATCATTAACGAATAAATTTTATTGAAAGAAAAATAAAGTATCGAGAAAAGAAAAGAGATATGTTTTTTCGTTTTTGGCCTTTTTACCGATTAAAAAGTGGTCTGTTTTATAATGTTGCGATTTTCACTGATGCCCACTGAAAATGCAATAAGCAAGACATTTGCAACTCGAGACAGGGATAACAGCGTGCAAACAACTCAGGATAAAAGTCTCGCAGCTCTTCCGGTCTGCTTCGATGAGTCGACCCTAAAAACGTTGTACCTCGTCTCCTGGTGGCGTCCCGACGGAACTTCCTGTAATAAAGTTTCCGAAAAGCTCTCACGCCCGTAGGCGATGAAACAAAACTGGCGGCGTTCATGGGACGAAGTTACCGCCGAAGAGACGCCCCTAACAAATTCTAATCTAATCCCGAGAGCCTCGGCTAATGCACGAGGCGCGGCAGGCATCTCTCTCTCTCTCTCTCTCTCTCTCTCTCTCTCTCTCTCTCTCTCTCTCTCTCTCTCTCTCTCTCTCTCTCTCTCTCTCTCTCCGTTCCGTGTCCCCGTTCCGAGGAAGGCCCTGGCCCTTCGTTCCCGGGCGGCACACGACGAACTTTAATATTAGCACTCTGCAAGTCAAACTCGACGTTGGAAAATTCAAACTTCTTTCCTCGCCGTGTCGGGTGTCCCTCTCCGTCCCCCCTTCGTCCGGGAGTTTAACACCCGGACGAGGGTAGGACGTTGCTGGATCGCGCAAGACTGGCAAAGGGAGACAAGGAAGATTGCGAAGGGTGCCACAAGGGGAATCCGATCGTCCACGATGACGGGAGACGACTTCTTTTCGAACAACGAGGAACCTAATCGTCCGATTTACCACCCCGTGATCTCGGCGTGTTAAAGTTAGTCGTACATTATACCCCCACCTCTTCCCAGTATTGGGATGCTGATCTTATGTTTAATTCCGAGGGCGAAAACGCGAGTTAATTAACGTAGCGGGTTCGGGATTGCCCGGGCTCAATCCATGCATTTAAACCGTTGTTTCGACTACTAGTTGGCGAAATGAAAATGGACGTTGAATTACAATTTTATTACGTTCGCTTTTACGTTTCGCTTAAAGCACTGACGTTATATTCGTCTCTGGATCGACAGTTATAATACTGGACTGCTAAAATAAAGCGAAATAAATGATAAAGTTACAAGCAATAAATTATTTTGTATAGACATAATCTGATTTGACTACTTTCAAAGCTACTTTATAGTAAAAAATAAAACTTTTAAATAATCTGTAATTTTAAATGAATATATTATATTAATAACATTATATATGTATATTTTTAAAATGCAATATATTTTTAAGTAATATACAATGGTAGGTATTAGAGATAACATAAAAATGGCAATTTTATTTTATCTTAAAAATCAAAATATACTCATATATATATATATATATATATATATATATATATATATAATACGCATACAAAAATTAAATAATAGTAAATAACACACTAAGAATGATCACTAAATATATTCGTACACTAAATATATTCGTACAATATCCACAAAGAATATTATTCTCTGTAATTTAGAATTGCAGTGTATTTTGCTTTATGTGTTATACATGCGCAATTTCATGGAAATGTATACCGATCGTATGCCAGCTAAGATTTACTTTCCGTGTGTTTGCAAGCGATTGTTCCTGTGATACGGAAACCGACCAAATTCGCCGCACGTCGTCTACATCGTAAACTCCACGCGCAATGAAATTCATATCGCAAACGTGGGACTTGGCGTACTCGAGTTTCTAGACTATCGAGTTGACGATCTATCCCTACCAACTTGGTAGTATATCCTAAAATGCACTTTCATTCTTAAATTCATCGGATATAAATCATATAATTCAATAAAAAATATATCTCTCACAGAAATTTGTATTAAAAACAGTCACAGCTTAGTCTAAGTTAACTTTAGTTAAAACTACGTGAAAAAAATGTGAAAAAAATATGTTCTCCAAAAGTATCGTGCAATATCAGTTTTCTTTTTTTTGTTTTTTTTTTTGTGTTTTTTTTTATTAAAAGTGACGTTCTCCATTTTAAGCAAGCATTTTGAATAACCGCAATATAGCTTCTTCGCTCTTTTTGTCCGATAACGGCGAAATGATAACATTTCGCTTAGCAAACATGTGACTCAGAAATAATAACTCGATCGCTTAGTACGGTGTTCACGTTCCGCGGCTCTTTTTATTAGCGCGGCCGAAGCGCGAGGGTGAGCAACACGTCGACGGCGACGGAAAATTGGGAAAGGTAAATGGCCGCGTTAAAAGGGTGTCCGACCCGCACCTTCCTAATTCAGTTACCCCGTTGCCCTCGGGTTTTTAACCCGAAGAGCGGAACACTTAGTTACCCCCCGGCTGCTCGTCGTAGATTTCTCACGTGCCTGCTTCGCACGCAGGTGGCAAAATATGAAATATCCGTTTCCCGGTCGTGAAACATTATTATTACGATCCTCTATGTCCAGAGATCTTTTTAATAACGTTGGAAAAATAATGAAATCTCCCTGGCGATTTCACGCTCGCTCACACGAAGAAAGTATTTTATCTTAATTTTATCTGTTAAATTCTTTACGCGTATTTTTTACCACTCTCATTCCTTATTTATATCTTTATTTACTTTCTACTCTACGACATAATAGCGCTTAATATTTGATGTAAGGAACTGGAATCAATGTTTGAGTTCTTTGTCGTTAAAGAAAATTTATTGATTAAATATATATCTGTCTCGAAGCTTGTCAAAGATGGCACACGGATGGTGATCATGTCCTTGCATCTATGTACCAGTATTAGCAATTTGTGCTAGTATCTGTTATTTATTCATCTTTCGTTCTCCGCACGTTCGGGTGATCGCGCGTAATTAGACGTCGTCATTGATTAAATTACAGGTTATTTCCGAGGCGTATCCCGGCGGTTCCTTGATTTTAATCGCCATCTTTTAATCGCAGGATATCAGAACACTTTTAATATAGGTCGGGAATATCGACGTGAGAGGAGAGGAGTGCTCCACGGATCAGACGCGTTTTATGCGTACATAATTGAAAAAGTTTAGCCGCGTTCGCGACGACAGGCGTCCGTCTCTTTCCCTTTCTCCGCACGTTACGATTAGTATTCCATGTAGCCGCCGGCTGCGGTAATAGCCACGACGACGTGATATTTATGACATTTTTTGTTGGCTGTATGCAACGAGGTACTCGTTGTATCCGGATATTTCGCGGTCAGCTTTGACTTTGCCGTGTTCGCGATTTTTTTGCGGATCGACGTAAAGCCTCCCTTTCTCACCGAAAAACGAGTCTTTATGAGCCGGTATATTAACTCATGTAATAATATACAAGTTTTAAACTGAAGAGACTCGAGATTTAGAGGGAAAATTACAAACTCATCAACTTTTTATTAATATTTTTGTATTGACATTGGGATTTCGCAATTCATACGTTAATAAATGCGCATTTTACAATTTGTTTTATTTAATATTCACAGATGATATCTAAATATTGAATTAGCAATTTATTCATCATTCTGTGAAAAACATTTTTTCTTCACTCAATCAACTTTATGCTTTTTCAAAAATTATTGTTCTTATTAAAGAAATGCAATCATAGAAGCAACTTTTGGTTTAAAATTTATTTCTGTAAATCTTAATATAAAATTATAAAAAATACTTGCTTCAATCATTAAACACTTAATTTTAATATTAGCATTTTTTAACCATTTGGAAAAGAAATTATTTTATTGCTGCGTTTTGTTTAACCAAAAACAAGTAGCTCGCTCTGTCCCACAATTATTGATCACAGCGAAATCATAAAACCGTCATTATGACGCAACGCAAATCACCGGCAAAACCGCATCACTTGACGAAAATCCGCTCGCCATGGGATGACCGATTTCCAATTCCCCTGTCGTTTTGCACCATTAAAAACGCAAATATTGGACGAACCGCGGATCGCGCGATCGCGAAAACGCGGGTTGGGAGCAGGGGGGAGGAAGGGGGGTGAGGGTGGCCGTCGAAACGATCAAAAAAGTTGCCTTCGCTCTCGCGTTCGCGAGTCTCGTCGTCGCGTGTGCATTAATATTCCGCGGCGCAAACGCGCCGTTGAATGCATCGGGGCGAGACCGGGTGCGTCTGTATTCCGCGCGACGTGCACCACGTTCCGCAACACCCTCACCGCGCGCTGCGCTTCTCCCACGAGAAATCAACACCGCGTTATCCTTGCTCGCGCGGAGGCTGTTCAATTTACGGCCAAGTTAGGGTACACAAAGCGGCGGCACACTTCGACAGGCAATGCGAGAGAGGCTGTCGAGGGAAGGAGAATTTTGAACTACCTAGGTAGGTAGATATATATATATATATATATATATATGTATATGTAATTGTGCACAGATAACCGTGCGTATATGTACTCCGCGCGAGCGGAGGAGAAGCTAAGATTCTATCATTGCGGCAGCTGCGGCGTGTAAGGGAATGCTATGATAATGAACGCCTACTCGCTCGTCGCTCGTCGACGCACGCGAGTCCGCACCATCGAATTGCATTGCGAAAGCAGGGAGTGATATGTCACACTGTGAGCTTGTACAAGATTGTTTTATCGTGTATGCCTTGTGTTAGAGCTTTGAGCAGTTACACGCCTTGTGCTCGCGATATATGTTCTCTTGCTAGGAGATTTTGATTAATGAATAAAATTTTATTCTATTTTATTCCTTACATTCGACTTGCAACTTACATCGCTTATGTTCATTAAATGTGTCTAATTATTTACAAGCGCGTAATATAATTCGTAGATAGATAACAGATTTCGGAAGAAAAAATATGCATAAATTAAAAAATGAATCTTACTTCCAGGAAAATTTTAACTTGAATAATTTTTATATTAACGAATTATACATAATATCTTTTATTTATTTATTTTGTTTATTATTTTTTTTATTTTATTCTAGTATCTTCTTTTATTAGTTTTATTTATCGCATA